AATACAATATGCCTGATTCCTAATTGCAATGTCGCGGGCAAATCACCTATTAAATTATTAATTATTAATTTAAAAGTATTAAATTATTACGAAACTACAAAAATAATTACGAGCAAGTGTGCAGACCTATGCTTTTGCTAATAGCTATAAAGGTAGGGCTATCACGATAGGTCGATGCATCAATACCACTATCGGTGGTTCAAGTAGTTTTCGTGTTTCCGAAAGACCCCCAGAGAAGATTCCTTTGGGTCGTGAAATTGGAACGCGAAGATTGGAGGCCTTCAGATCGATCTCGCTTATATGAGGTAAACATAACGTGAAGCTTTCCAAATCCAGTAAGACCTCTGCGGAGGCTGGGACAACATAGTCATTGATTCACAACCGTTTCCTTTTCCTTAAATTTTGCAACAGTGCGATGTATTGTTTTCTTGGTTGTTGCCGTTGGAACATAACCCTTTAACAAGACAAAATTGTTAACCCTTTTGTTCTTTGCCCTATACATAAGCCCGTGTTTTATTTATTTGCTTCGAAAATTTCGCTAAAAAATCACCCAAGTGTCCACAATATAACCCAAAATAAAATAAATGGATCAGTTAGAAATGACTAAAGTTATATCATTTTGAAATTAGCTTTTTTTGCTATCTCTATAAATGTGGAACTGTCATTATGTGAATTCAGGTTAGGCCTATGAGAGCTCTGCCGAAATTAACGTTGCCAATAATATTTTGAACGTTGCTTGGCCTAAATATTGGGTGATGCAAAAAAATGCGGCCTGTTTGACTCTATGAAACCCCCTGTAGATTATCTGTTAGTGATTTTTTTTGCATTACATTTGAAATACTACAAAAGTCGTTTTCCGAAAATTTCATGCGTCAAGGTTTTCAGAATAAAAGTGAGTCATTCAAAGTGGAGTCATACAATTTGCCCTTTCCGCGCATGTAGTGAATGGATTTTCAGTACTACTCAAATTTGAGTACTACTCAAATGATTTCTCTCCTTTGACGCCATCAAGGCTGCTTTTTCTGCCATGTCCTCGTCGTAGCATTCTCCGTCACAGAATAGAACCACTTTCGTACATCGGAGTATCAGAATCGATACTACAGGCATGTAGAATACTATGACGAGGACAAGGTTACCCTTCAGCAGTCTGCATGGTGTCGGAGAGAAATAATTTTAGCAGTGTTGAAATTCCATTCACCTCATGTGCATAAATGGTACCTTTGAAGACGCCCCTTTGAATGATTTTCGCTTTTTATTAAGGCAACCTGGGCACATGAAACTTTTATGGAAAAATTTTTGTGAAGTGTTTTCAATGTGATATGAAAAAGTCGCGAACTTAGATTATCCATAGCGGGTTTTATGAAGCCTCAAACAGGACTTTTTTGCGTCGTCCGGTATTGGTCTTTGCTAGAAATATGAAATGAAGAAAGAGAATGAATAAAAAAAACTTCTACGTGGTTGTGGGACAGACATCGTAGATTCAGAGGGGTCCAGCTCGATGGGATTCAGCCGCCTTAAAATTGGCATCTGGCTATAAGGAAGTACCTTCTGCTGTTTCCGTTTGAGTGTCTCGTCATGTGCAGACGAAATCCAGCATCCACGATCGTGCCTCATATGAGGAAATCGGAGCGATTTACGAAAAGATTGACTGGGGGAGAATGGGAGGTTGTGCACTGTGGAGAAAAAATGGTTCCCTTTGTTGAGGTTGGCCTGGCTCCAGGGGCTCTAACTAGAGCGTCTGCAGTCTTGAATTCACATGCTGTCATGGCATGTAGATGATGTCATTCTGGAATATCCTGCGTACTTCATTCAAGTGCTTCACTGTACAGGATGATTAAAAAATCGGGAAGACCATTGGGGACTTCGTGGTGTGCGTGAATATGTATGGGGGCTGGTGGAGTCCTGTGTGCAAATGCGTCAGAGTATACGAGGATCACTGAAAAATTTTATAATGGGACTCTTGTAGTTGTTATAGGACAGTGAAACGTTATAGTCCTTCTAAGCATTGTTCATCAGCTGCAATGTCCTGCTCCATTCGATGAAACCGCCTCTTGAAACCCATCTTCCTCTCGTTCTGAAGTGATTACTGTCAAATGTCATTGAAGAGTTTCTAGTGTGTCGCTGCCGCCATATACTTGTTTTTCTTTCATCCCTTCTTAATATGTGAAAAGGAAATAATAACAAAGGACATGGTAGAGCGAGTTGGGAGGCTGTGGCAGCAGCCGAAAATTTTAATTGGCCAGGAAATCGCATGTGCTGGCTGCTGTGTACTTACGGGCATTGTCATGGTAGAAGAGGATTCCACGGAGGCCTGATTTTTGACGGCTCTGGCGTTGTTCTTCACTTGTGTACCAGAGAGCAATAACTGTCTTATGACCCTCCAATGAGCAACCTTCACCACACTCGATCTCGAGAAGAGCACTGCAACCATCTTCCTCCCAGAACTTTTTTTGGCTTTTGGACTTTTTGGAAACAACCAAATAGGCCGTATCGTTTCCGGATCATATTGATCCATCCAATTTTTGCCACCTGTCGCAACTGAGGAAGCGCTATAGATCGCCCCTTCACCAAACCTTTCTATCATAAATGTACACAAATCCTCATCGGCTACTTTCTGGACTCATCAGACTATGTGGCACCCAGACAGATGAAAATTTTCTCGTATGAAGATTTTCTTGCAAAATTGTATAAACTGCTGCTGATCCAATGCCTCGACTCTGCTGCAACTCTTCATAGGTGATTCGTCTATTTTCCCGTATCAGAGACTCGGCACATGTAGTGTTTCCAGAAGCGAAGGCTGTTGTATGTCTTTCACTGTGAGGCTCATCTTCCAAACTGGCTCTCTCTCTCGTCGAAATTCACCAAACTAATTATAAACTGCAGCACGATGGAGCAGATATTCCAAATGCTCACTGTTACTTGAGCTATGAGATATAACACATTGAACTCTTCATTAGTTCAATTAAGAGCGAACTTATTGCATGTGTTATGCAGTAGCAACCAAAGAGGTGAACAGTTGTGCCAAAACCAGCAAGTGCTCTCGGAGAAGTGGCACTAAGGCAGAAATCCCAAATGTCATCGTTCGGTTCCCAAGGTGACGTCAGAGATATTTACAAGCATCCAACAACTCCTTAAAGAAAAGCTACTTGCCTAATTCAATCAAGATCTAACGTCAGCAACTTTCTCAAATTGGCTCATTTCTGCTCAATTTTCTCACAGGTACCTTACTCTTTGCGAAAGTTTAAATTATAGTCAAATGATGCTAAAGTGCTGATTTTTTCATCATCCTACTCTGCTTCTTCATCTATGCCGCCGTCGTGGCTCTCATCTCCTTCATGTGCTTTCGGGAAGTGTACCAATTAAGGAATTGTGATCATTTATCCTTCCCGAGCCCCTTGCAATGCTGACATTCCAAAAGCTCCGAAACTTACATGATATTGCCTCAATCCTATCTTCCTAGCAGGTCCGATGCAATTATAAGAACGAATGTTAGATAGACGGAACAAAATCTCTGACAAGCGGATTTAGTTATGGAATACGAATTAGCGGAACCTCTATACCCCTGCTGGATGTTTGTGGCCACTTGCCCTCACTTTTGGGAAGTTTCCCACTGCTATGACTGCCTTTACGAGCAAATTCATGCTGTATTTTGCAGGCGTGGAAGGAAGAATGAATGCGCACACACTAGTCTAGGGACTTCCCCAAGATGTGCTCTGCTCTCGTTGGAGTCCGACTCGAGGAGCGTAGTTGACTATTGATCAGTTAGATGTCAGGGTTATCCCAAAGAATGATTGGAACTCCTCCCCTACTCTGCCCTCCTGTGCTCCTTCATGAGGCCTTCTTAATGCATCCATAGGACTATTTGAGTCCGTATTATGAAAGGTTGAAGAGCCCATGTCGTATCTTCCTGGGAATCTAAGTGCGATTCGTGAATTTTTGGTTAAATTTCGTATTCGCTTTTCTGTAGATTGAAGTGGCTTTTTGTTCAAGTCAGTCGAATGCGATTAAATCGCTTACAGATATTTTGTCATATATCTAAGTATGAAAATGCTGAATTTTACATATTTCTCATAGATTTTAGCGAAAAATATTTTACATCGTATTGCAGGAGCATCTTGTTAAGGTAATACGAAGGCATCCTTCACATGAAACACGGAGCAACTATAGGGGTCTGTTATTTTGGTAGAGCAAATACATGTTTTTCTTTTTCGCATTACCCATTGGCGCTTGTGCATTAAGGCATGGCTTCAAGGGGAAGGATCTTGAGTTACAAATGTTCATCATATTGTTCGGGGTGTCAGAGATGAAAAGGGTGTAAATGCTCTTCTGAGTGATGCCTGAGCCGAGAAACGACACCCGAGAACGCGTGGACTTCGACCCCAATCACACCGAAGAATCCTCGGCACCCGTAACATTCCTTTATTCTTTTCTCTCTCTCCCCTCATTCCTTTCAAGGACCCGACCTCCACAGCAATCCATCATACTGTACGTTTCTCACCACAAATAAGGAAATTTTGTTCACGCGGACATTCCGTCTGTGTACAGGGCCCAAATTTGTTCCTGGAGTATAATACATTCTATTCCATGTGAGAGGCCATAAAGTAGGACGAATGTGACAGGAGAAAGAAATTCATGGAATACTTTGTCAGTCTCTCCCCATAATAAACCCCTTCCTCGATGACACCTCTCATTCCCCTCTACTTGACAAAGTGAGCGGCAATGGACCCGAAATGAAAGAGATTTTTCCCCTGAAACTTTTTGTTTCTTTTTTTTTTCTCCCTGCGAGAAATTTCTCAACCCAACGTGAATGAGACATCTGCAAACGAGGAAATATATATATACTTTTTGTGAGACGATTTGACACAACACTCTGAGAATCGATATGGCACATTCTGGAGAAGAAAATGAGAGGAAAACATTTCAAGGTCACCAAACGAGGAAAGTTTGCAACAACTTCGTAAAACTCTACTGGGACCTACGTTCCACACCAGCAAAGGAATCTTTGGTAAAATCGCGATGGTACAAATTCATTGAAGGCTGATGACAATGAAGATTCATATTCCTCTAATTCCCTCAGGCTCCTGTTCGGATTAAAGCAGTGGCTGATCCCAGAGACCGTAAGTCGATCCGCAGATGGTCGACCGATCCATCAATTTGCCCGAAATTCGCTCTCCATTCAAAACCAATACAGGTCTTTTGGCACCGAGGAGGCTTCTTGGACTGCGCTTTCGAACCCTGTATGACAAGAAAGAAAGAAAAGTCGTCATTGATTTGAGTAGATGATTCGATTTTGTGGCTCTCGATATGTTCACCATATTTTACGTGTATACACTTGAATATTCATTGTTCGAGCCCGTAAGAACCATTGGCGGAGCTTGCGGGGTATTTGGAGCCGTAGCTTGGCCTTCCTATTTTTTTTCCCTTTTCAAACAATAGCATAATTGCGCAGGGTCAAATGGATGGGTGACATTAATGTTAATATCAGATATTAGGCTCCGCTAGTGCGCGAATTCCATGACTGTAATCTCTGGCAAAACCAAAGGCTTAGCCGATCTCTGCCCGGTATAGCCCTCAATTCAAACTGAACTAAGGAAATCTGAAGGTTTACCGAACGGATGTTAAATATGTAGCGCATGTGGAATAATGCATGAACAATACAACAGACAATTTCATTTGGTCTGTCTGTGCGTCTGTTAGCATTCTAGCGGGGAAGCCGCTGAAGTTTGAGAGATAAAATTTTGTACATGCATTCCTAAGTATTCCTAAGACTTAAAAAAAAAATTTATGCGACAAAACTTTGATTTACTGTTTTCTTCATTTTTGCAAAAAACTCAATTTATCAATGCAATTTTTCCTGTGGAAGAAAGTAGTTGCTAAAAGGCATGGAGTCATGGCAACAGTATTGCTCTGAATACAATAATTTGGCAGCTTAATGCGTAAAAAAAATCCTGTTTAAATTGTGGTTCCTTGCTTCTACGAATGATTGAATGCCCGTGAAGTGCGGCACTGTGATGTAGGCTATTGTAACTTAAATGGTAGCGCTCTAGCAGCCTGTATATTTATTATTTTGTTGATAACCTCCTTCACTATGGCAATGTTTGCTTTCTAAAAAATTTTTCGAAGCCCATAATTGTTAAATACGCTTCTGTGATGTGGTATGGTACCGCCATGCACCGTCAATTGTATCGATTCGCAATCACAGGAATTGATTTCTTTTTTATTTCAACTGAATTTTCTTTTTGTTCTAAGAATGCTATACTCATAATATTCTTCGGGCAGATTTACTCCTGGTCTCTGTCTAGGGACCAAAACTTGGACATGGGCAAGGCCTCGGATGCGGTTCCCAAGACCGCTCAACCAAGGAATAAATAATTAAATAAAGATAATTAATATATATTACCCAATTATTAGCACCTGAATCAGATCACGATAGGCCTTTCTGAAAAGCGATAAATGTTTCTCCGTGTCGCAAAATAGTACATGGTAACTATCTCCAAGTTCTAGAGTTATGGTGAAAATGTCAACTGTCAGTGATGGTTTTCGGATTTTCTGTGATTGTTTACAGATACTAAATGCAATATGAGCTTGTTTGTGTGTGTATGTGTAAAATCACAGTAACTAATTTTAAATTTAACGAACCGCGTTGCCGTGGTTCAGTAGATAGGACTAGCACGCGGGAGATCCAGGTTTGAATCCAACCAGCAGAAGGCGACCGACAGTTCACCCGGGTGCTTTCGGTTATTACCTGCTCTCCCTTGGGCTCAAGGATAGGTCACTCTGTGCTCCATTATGTGGTAGGCAGTGGTTTGGTGCGCCTCAATAGTACCCGCCAGGGTGCTATTGAGACGCAATATCCTCCTGGTGGCCTGATGTGCAGTGATGGAAGGCCTCAAGCCTGAGCGGTATCGAAGTTGCCTTCACCTCACCCGGGCCGTGAAAACAGGATAAATAGTGAAGGAGCGTGTGAAGGAGCGGCAATGCCGTAAGGGATGTCCGATTTGGATGTCTTTCCTCTACTATGTGCTACGGCCGCTTATGGTATTTTTCCTTGTCTGTGTCCGTCCCAGTCCAAGTTAAACAATTTTAAATCCAATATCTTTCACTCCGGTTTGCTCAGACTTTGTCTGCATCAGTGGTCCCCAAACTTTTTAAGGCGAGGGCCTCACGGACACTTTGGTCCACCTTGAGTGGGCCGCACTAATAACGTTAGTCAACCTGGAGTGGGCCGCATTGACAAAGATCCAACACTACTGCATGGTTAACCCTTTATGTGACCATCGAACTCTTGGTCAGGCTACCAGGAAGTCCAATTTAAAAAATGGGGCTGCTTTGTTACAAGTTGTATTTTCGATAAATATTCCTTTTCCTCTCTCCCTAACTTCACTTACTTGCGAGAAGATACATTTTTTCTCTGCAGTATATGAATGCTCCGAGTTTTAGGCAAGTTTAGGCAAGGTGCATATCTGAATACATTAGCATAAAATGTTTTAACAAGTGTCTGAATATCTATAAAATGACAAAACTTGCTAGTTTTCAGCGAAGGATTCCAAATCTGGAATTTAAAAAAGTGTTCATAGCGATTATTCTTGAGTGGCGATAAAATGGTTAAAAGTGAAAAAGTCAATTATTGGGTTACTCTTAGTGGGACGCATAAAACCATCAAGTGGGCCGCATGCGGCCCGCGGGGCGCACTTTGAATACCTCTGGTCTACATCTATTCTAGATGAAGGGCGAGATATAGGTAGGCCAGGTTAGGTGAAGAACATAAGAATTCATATACCATATCACATGCTTGCTGTTATCAGTATACCTTCTGATTTTTCCAAATGATTATGATATGAAGCTGGTCAACACTTACCTGTATTCTAGAGTTTTTTTTTTTCTTCCAAATAATAGCTTTTTTGTTTCTCTGAACATCTTAGCAGATGTTTGCTTTTTAACATGGATTTTGCATCAATTCAATAATGATTATGCTAGTGTATGTTTTTGCCTGTGAGGGAATGGAAAGGGACCAATCAGGAAAAATGGAGAAGATGTGACACATGAATGGAACATGGAATGGTAATGAGGAAGAGATCCCCCTCCCCTCATGAAATCCCCAAGCTCTGCCTATGGTAAGAATTAGTATACAGTAGAACCTGAAATATTTCATTTAACCTTCAGGTAGTATTAATACGATTTCAGTATGCATATACTCCATTTTTACTTTATTGCAGGATTCAATTTGTGGAACTACTGTATTTTGTCTTGCAGATATTTCTATAATGCGTTATGAAACATGTATAGCATGAAACATGTGATCCGGTCTACATTGGAATTCATCGGGAATTCAAAGCGACGTAACAGAAACTGTGGCTTTTCCTAGTAGAGACTTCTACGGATCAAGGAGGAACCGACTTATAAAGAAAACGTTTGTAACATAGCCTATGAGTTAAAAAAAAAAAGCCACTCGTGAGGATTCTGGAGAAAGACAGATATTCGCGATGACCTTCTTGCGGCAGGTCATTAAGGCTCGTTTCCAATCAGCAAATCGTTTTGAGACTCAATGAAAAACGGCCTCACACTTCTTCGAATTTCCGTGGAATGTTCATCCAATTTGATTGATATGGTGTCTTTGTGCATGGTCTGTATTCTTACCTGACATGGGATGAGGTGGATAGGCAGGGTAGGTGGTGTCGAAAGGGTGGGGTAAGTCGGAGGTATGACCCGGGGATGTCCATTCGGATGTTCCGGGTTTCCCAGGGACACCTGAACACCCTTGTAGCCCGCGGGGGTTCGGCCTCATCGGCGCTTGAAGCAGGAATGATGAATACCCCGCATGTGCAGGGTGATGATTCAATCTGCACAAATCCCGCAGGAAGACAATCAAGCATCTCAGCTTAGTTCATAGCTACGTTCATAGGTCGCGCCCAAAATGATTCTCAGTCTAAGAATCCGAATTACATTCGAAATTTCCCCTCGCCGTAAACATCGAATGAGTTAGGCTTATGTCAAAGAAGGAATGCTCCCTTTCTTTTCGCGTCTTATACCAAAAAGGGCTCTTAAGGAAAAAAAACTAGACCGGTGACACTTCCATTGCATTGTTAAACCAAGGCAAAAGCTGGGTCTACGAAATTTGGAACCAATGCTTTTGTCACGTGAATACTGAAGATAGGGAGGTTGGATGGACAAGAGAGGACGAAAGAAAGCCAGGGGACGGCCGGGAATTGAACCCGGGCCTCCTGATTGCCGGTCAGGTGTGCTACCATTACACCACCGAACCCAGGACATTCAATCGTGCCTCTCAACACTGCCTTCATCACACTTTAGTATGGCGTTGCTCTTCTCAAATTTTAGGTTCAGAGTGCAACTAAAACTATGAGGAAATATTCCTCAAACAGCAAATTTGAGGGAAAATCTGCTACCGCGAAGATGAGAAATCGACTCCAGAAGCTCTGCTGCGTTTAAGAAAATATTCTATAATCTGAGGGGGAACGCAATATTTAGATGAAGAGAAGGCATGTAGTCAACTCATGCAAATCCGCAATCTGCCTACAGCGATTGAGAACAGATCTTACAATAGACTTATCGATAAACCAAATCGAATGGAATATTCTCAGAACAGAAATAATTGTTTCATGCATAAACTATCTAGTCAGCGAAGTTATACAATAGGGAGGAAAATTTATTAACATTATATGTGCCTCCTGATATTGAGTCCTATCCTAAGTACGAGAGGAAACAAGAAAGTCTCAGTGGCAGGCGAGTTATAAACGCGTAGCGAAGCACAAAAGAGTTCAAGGAATTAGCTCGCGCACAAATTGTGAAATTCTGATTTACATCAACATATGAACTTCAATACCCACTCGGATATCCTCCGTTGCGATATGAGACTATTGTCATATACTTTTGCACTTTGCGGCGGATTTCCATACCCTGTACGATTTCTGGGACCAAAAATCTAGTTACTCTGCGTATCTTTTACTTGGGATATCCATACGTTATCTTTGAGGTTTATACTATTTTAAAATGAAACTGAGTGTTCATAACCTGAATAACAACTCCTTTTCTGTGCGATTTTATGAGTGTGTCGCAAATGAACGAGTGAGACGGTCCGCGCCATTCAGAGATACGAGTCCGATCGTTAGTGAAGTAAGCAGCCAAGTGAAGTATGCAGACACTCATTCCTTAGACGTTGCATGGAAGAAAACCTCTAACTTATCTTCTTATCGACAGATTTCATTAAAATTTTAATGAAACCACTGCCACATGCTGAATTTGTGACAGTGTAATGTATCTAATGAAATCTCTTATGGTGTTCCGTTAACAACTGTGTAAAGTTGGAACAAAACTGGGCCACCAGGGTATATAATTTAGGAAAAAAAAGTTATTGCTTTAAAACCGTGCGTGAAGCCCCTCTCAAACTAACAGCAATCGTTAGTACACATTTAGAGCTTTTGATATAAATGAAAAACATTGATTTGAACAACAAAAATATCTGACGGAGTCAAATACAACGTCAAATTCGCAAAAAATGCCAATTTTCATGAATTTGAACGGAAAAACTATGTGGATTTCAGTGAAAAAAATTTGCAACTAAGCACTCTAGTATGCTGTCCTCAAGTGTCGCAGAGAGAACATTTTTGGATCACTAATTCGAAAATATATGCAATTTCAACGTCAAATTCGAATATTCAAAATTGTTTTGCATAAGAAACATTGCACATTCAAAGTTTTCCATTACTGATGTGAAATTTGGTTTTGCAATCATAAACTTGGTATTGTAATCATGTTCATGCAACTGATGGCTTGCGTAAAGAAAGGCTTTGAAATTTGGACAAGAGGTCGCCCGGGGGCTTTATGGGGTTTTACAGTACGTGGAGGACTGGAATTTTTTTTAATGGTGGTTTCCCAATATTAGAGAGGACCGCTATTACCATGATTTTGCAATTTTTTTTGAGTTAGTCAAGCATAATTTTTGTTGCGTTTGTGTGGGACGACTCGACTATATTCCAAGGATGAAATGTGTCTCCTACGCCTGATTGCTGCATCGCATGGTGCCGATACCCCACCCACTTCATGACACTGTAGACTCGAAATGGCATTTCTTATTTGCCTGCCACAGAAACTTTCCCTGTTACATTTGTACTCCCCTCGCATAAAAAGCCTGTTCCCATTCCACACATACCATAATCATTTAAAATTTTGTATGCCTGTAATTATTTCCTCGTGGACAATGACGTAACGGAGACCAAGGACTGGTTTTCCATAGGAATTCATGAGATAATGAAATGTAAGCCGTAAAGTAATCGAGATGGTGACGGACCTCGTAGGGGTAGACATGGGTGCGTAGGCGAATTCGTGCATGGACCGATGATGGGGATAATGGGAGAAATTCCAGGGATCTGCCTGGAAATGGGGAAATCCTGTGCTGGATGGATCGTAGCCCACATGTTGTTGTTGATGCTGATAGTTACTGTCCCAAAAGGAGGCCGGGAAGTTCCGTTGTGACATCGGAATTGGGGACGCTTCTGCAAGTAAATCATCGATCACAGATTAAATGACCCATCGGCAACGGTCTGTGCCGAATCAGAGGATCCACACAGGTCCATATATTGTGCTTCATTCTTCCGGTATGTAAAAGCCTTCAGAGATTTCTCATATTCGAGGATAAACTCCCAAGAAAACCTGTCCGGCCGTGGATGGGTGGAAGAAGCAGTCAGACTAGGGATATCTCAAGCTCCAGTTTCGGGAATGACGAGCACAAAGGCTAACGATCTTCACAGCTCAAACGTAGCTTAGAGAGAGACAATATGAGTTGAAGATTGTTCAATTTAATTCGTCGCTGACGAACACTTTTTAGCTCACGATGTACAGCTGAGGCTGTTTCTTTAGTGATTCGATGTTCATTAGGGCAGGTTTGGCCTCGTCCATACCAGAAAGTTTTCTAGGCAATTTTTATTTGCAAGTCGACTTGCGAAGAAAACTTTCGTTGTCTTCGAAACTTTTATGTGCAAGCTTTATCCTACCTTTTGTAATAGACCTTTCTATGCATCTGGAAGCCTAACCTCCAGATCGTCCCCTGAGAAACATCTGTCTCAAGCACTCGGTGTTCACCGATAAAACGAGCTTCGCAATCAATTTTTAATCCTACGGCAGGTCCGAACGATGCCGTAGCAGAGAAAGACATGCAATACTTCATAGTTCGTGGAGGAAAGCGAACTGTTTGCGGCATCGAATGCCTTAGGGCAGCGGTTCCGGAACCTTCTGGAATCTCAAATCTCCTCCAAGTCTAATGGGTCGCGACCCACCGTGTGGGAACTTCTGCCTTAGGCAATGCGGGCTGGGGTATATTCAATGCCTAGAGTCTTCCACCCCGCCTCCGCGGCCGGGGAGGGCTTTTTCTGGATTGGAATATGACATTCACGCACTGAAGAGTATGAATGAAATTCGCCATTTCTACAAGTAGTTCTTAATCCAAATGAATGACGAGTCACAATTTTAGAGACATGCAGATTCCTCGCCATTGGACAAAAATATTTAATTGCCCAAAAAATTACAAATATATATATATATATCTATTTTTTTTGCTCGGTGAAGAAGAGAGAGAGAGAGAGTAAGGCGTGAGCGAAAAGGTGAGTAAGGAAGTAAATAAGTATTTATGTATATCCACGACTCCGTAAAAATAAACAAAGTGAAGAGGACATTAAGGGGATGTTCCCTCCATTAGGTGCTCGTGTTGCTTTCAGCGTCATTACTTCATTACCTTCATTAAGGGGCACTCATTCATTAAGCGAAGACAGACATCTCGTGTACGAAGACCGGCGTCGTCTCAGTTGTAACCGATCTGCTCCTTCGCTTTTGCGATATTTCTACGCTGATGAATGTGACTCGGAAGTGCCAATGCACCGTGCAGGATGTCCAAGATTTTCCGCTTCCCATGACATATAATTGCATAAAATTCCTGCGTAGTTCCACAATAGAACATAAACTAGGTAAGACAATCCTTTCATATGTCTTGTCTTTCACAAAATATGTATCGAGGCTCATGAGAAATACCACAATGAGGCCTTGAGATCTTGAAACGTGCTTACTGCGAATTTCTCCTGTACTCTGACTTCATTCCACGTGATGAAAAAAGGAGACATGAAATTCCATAGGTCCATGGGTATTTCACAAAGGAGCATCATTGCAGAATTTAAAAAATCTTGATCGTATTGGCATATCCAAGAATGTGCCTGCGTTGCATTGAGTATAAAAGCATTAACAAAGCCAATTTTAATGAAGGGAGTAAGCCGAACGACATACAATGTTAATATCAAGATACCTTCCGAAACGCAAGGATTGAATCATCGAGGATTCTTAGCGGCTTCTCCCAAGTTTTCTTTGCAGTAGCTGTCTGAATCATTTCATGTTGTGAACTTGCAGCATTAGCGTGAAATGGAAATGCTCTAGTCATCCTATCTCGAAATGAAGGAAGATCATGTCCTTTCCTGTCTTCCCTATCCATTCCATTTTTCTCTTTGTTTCACAAGGTAGACCGAAGAAACAGGCAACTACTGCCATGAAAACGTTCATCAGGGTAACCTTCATTTCACAAGTTTCATCCATTGGCAAACGTGAAAATGTTTCGCATTTTTTGGCAAAATGGAACCAAAAAAGGGACGGAAATCATTTGCTCGATTCTTCATAATCAAAATCTCTAAGTAGCTTTAACGTTGACTTTTGAAAGCGCTCTCTGTATGACGGATCAGGGATTAGGGTTCGCATAGGAAATACACTATTCGCTTGTTACTCTGAAAATGGGGTAACAAAATCTTGTAATTTGTTACTCTTGAATAGAGGTAACCTACGGAGTAACATTGTGGAAAATCGCAGATAAAAGGTTACAAACTTGGAATGAATTTTTTAAAATGCTCTAGTGTGTTCATGTAAAAGGAGATCAACCTTCTGAACTCCATCAACATCTCCGGTGGGAAATTTCCCTTGAACTGGATAATGATTTTTATGTTACTCTTGATGTTACAATTCTCAGAAATATTGATGAAGTTCAGGACGTAAGATTTATTTTAATGAAAAATCCAGTACAAATAAAAAATGTCATTCTAAGTTTGTAACATTTTATATGCAATTTTCCACTATGTTACTCCGTTGGTTACTCCTATTCAAGAGTAACAAATTACCAGATTTTGTTACCCAATTTTCAGAGTGACAGCTAAGAGTGTAGACGAAATTTATCTGAAATTTTCATTTGACTGCAAGAAACTTCTCTGTGGCACAGGTCGCGTGGTTGTGACCCACCTTTTGAGTGGGTCGCGACCCCCACCTGGGTAGACCTGGGAGTTTGGTTTTGGTTCCTATGACGCAATTGCACCCATGGCCCTAGACAACCTTAGATTTGTATCTTAACCTTTCGGTTTGTCATACGCAGCATTTTTTTTCTCTTGCATTATTTTTCACAGCAAACAGTCTTCCTCATAGGTCGTGGAGTTGTGAAAAGCAAATTATGGGTTGCTCAGTCATAAACTTTGGAAACTGTTCTGGCATTTCCTACCACCATGTACACACATATTGTGAAACTCAACCGCATTTTACATACATTGTACCTTTTTCCCGTCAATATATTTTTTATCCGAAAGTAGTAGGCAACAAGAGGATGGCATCTTGTCTGTGCTCCAGGCATAAATTTCCAAATCACTTCCTTCAACTGATCAAGTAGCATCTCTGTTTCTAAAGATGGTTAGAAAACGCTCATGGAATGAGCTTTGGGCAAATTTCACTGACGGAATCACCTCAGTGAGGTACATGTGCATGATTTGAGTGGGATACTACTAATCTCTTCCAGTTTCTTATAGATTTCACTACAACGGGAAACTGCTTTAAACTTGATGAAGTTTTGACTCTCATGCCTCTGTATTCTCTTAGGTGCTGCCAGCTTTTTTTCCTATCAGTTGTGATTCATGGACTAAATCATAACCCATGAAAGAAACCCTTTTCGATTAGTACCTCACGATAAACTTATGGCAAGGGTTAATGTTGGCTATTTATCCTGTAACAGCTAATACCAAATTTTATTTTCAAAGGCCCATAGGAAAGCGAAGGCCTAGACTGAAAGAAACATCATGACAGGCCTTTCAGGCTGCCTGGATGCTCTAAGTAGAAACTTCAGATCATCGATTACCTACTACATAATCATTGAGGAAATCCCTCTGGCAAAGAAAATTAATCATTTTCGTAGAAAAAACAGTCTCTATTTGCATATTTCCATAAGAAAAGCATTGACTCCTTGCTTTGTTGGCGCACTTGACTCTCCTCAGCTCATTTTTATGCTTCCTGCCGCCAGATGTCTCCAACTTAATGCACCCAGCGAGTAGCCGTAAATTTTTCTTTCATTTCTTCTTAGAAGATTAATGCATCGATTCTGCACTGGAAGACATGGAAGAAAAAAAAATTATCATGTTTGTACTCGTGGGTGGAGGATTGGAAAGCTGATTGTAATCATGGCATTGATCAATTTAAATGTCAACCTTTTTGAAAGAAATATGCATGCGTCCAATTTGAAAAATGTAGCGGAAACATACGCTGACGAGAAAAATTGGAAATAGGATGCATTTTGATGATACCTGCATCTACTGGGAGAGGTATGAATGTCGCTAACGGAATAAAAATAATTTTTTTTTTAAGTTAAAAGCAAAACATTTTCATCCATTTATGACAGTAAAACTTCATCAACTCATCAAAATGAATGCTGTTGCACTTAGAAGACAACATGCAATGTCTTTTCCTCAGTAGGGGATGCGAATTTAAGGAAAACAAATGCTTTTTTCAGCCTCTTTTTCAGTCGTCTCTCTGATGCTGGGGCCCTGCATGTTGCGCTGCCTTGCACATTGCAGCTTGGACGACTTCCATTCACTCCACTTTTTGTTCCGTACTCTGTATTCCCAAACGTATCATCGTAGGTATTCGTATGATGTCGACCAGCTGTGGGAATCCTTCCTGTGCCATCGCCACCTAGCAATATTGCTACTTTCGAGAATTTGACTGTGTATCATTTTAGTATGCACGTGATTATTCTGCTTTCATATTCTGCTTTTGGATGCATGGTGAATCTCAAAGTCCTCTGGAGCGGTGTCCGAGGACTGGAATGGAATTACAGGCGCTAAAACTCTCTTAATGGCGGTAGATGCAAGGGTACTG